GCGCGGGGGCAGGGCCCTTGCGGGCAGCTGCGGCGGGGAGGTGTGTTTGGGTTTCCCTGGTGGCTGCAGGGCGAGCTGCGGTGCCTCCTTCCTGCAGCTGAAGTTTCCCTTCCTTGCCCCAGCGTCTTTTCCGCCTGTAATGCCCTGGCGCTGGTTGTGGCCTGTTTTCCTTTCCCTTGTGGCTCGCCTTTGCTTTCGCCTTGGCCGGTCTTTTCTTTTCGTGTCGGGCAGGGCTGTGAAGCGATGTCACTTGGCGGAGCCTGGGGAGCCCCCTGGTGGAGCGAGGGCCTGGGGGCGGCGGCGGTGGCGGCTTGCGAAGAGGCGGCTCTGGGTGTAGGCACGTGAGCATGGGCCGTGTTCCTGGATGGAGCTGCCCCAGCTCCTGTGTTTGAAGGTGCGGAGGGTGGGGAAGAAAGGCCGGAGGCAAGGGTTGAGGCAAAGGGAAGAGAGAGTTCTGGTGCTGCTCCTGCTGGCGCGTGGGGTCCCTGGCTGTGGTGCCACGTGCGCGCGCGCGCGCCTGTAGGAGGGGCCGGGTCGTGTTTGGTCGTCGTCCTTGCGGGCGGTGGCTGGAGAGGAAAGAAGAGAACGTCCCCCGTAAGCGAAGGGTCTTGCGTTTGGGCTGGGCTGAGCCCCGCGCCCCTCGGGGAGGGGTGTCCAAGAGTCCTGTGGAGGTGGAGCCGAGGCAGGTGCTGGAGGTGTAGAGCTGTAGCGGGAGGAGGAGGCGGAGGCTGGAGTCGCTGAGTGAGGTTTTGAGGTGCCTTGCAAGAAGAGCAAGGCTGACGTTGTGGTTGCGCGAGAGGCGCGGCCAGGTGTTTTGGGAAAGGTTTTGGAGCCGTGGCAAGGGGTGCGTGGTGGCGGTGTCAGGGCGGTGGCGGGCTGGGAGCCATGGTGTTGTCAGGCAAGGTTGTGTTGGTGGGTGGTGTGCTTGGGGTGCTGGCACGTGCAGGATGATTTGGCGCAGGTAGGTGCCGTCGCCGCAGGAGGCGGGCTGATGTTGGAGGTCCGTGGCTGGACCTTGTCCGTGCTGCCCTCGAACGGCTGGTGCTGCAAGGTGTTTTGCAGCAGCGCAACGAGAGAGTCGTGGTGGAAAATGCCTGAAGCGGGAAGAGTGGCGGACGTCAGGCTAACGCAAGGGATGTCTGCCGTGCCTGTCCTTGGTGGAATCATCCGACGGCTTGGTTTGGGAGGGACGTTTAAGGGTGATCTGGTCGAACCCGCCTGCAGGGAGCAGGGACATCCAGACAAGTGGATGGGGTTGCCGAGAGCCCCGTGGAACCTGACGTTGCCCGTTTCCCGGGATGGGGCATGTGCCACCTCTGTGGGCAACCTGTTCCACGCAGCGTTTCACCAGCCCGATGGCAAGGCAAAGGCTGTCCTCCTTGTATCTGGCCTGGATCTACCCTCTTGCCGTTTAAAACCATTGCCGCTTGTCCTGTCGCTAGGGGCGCCGTGAAAAGGTGCGTGTGGCCCTCCTGCGGAGCCGCTGCAGCAGGTCCGTGTGGTCGTTGTCCCGAGGACTGCAGAGCTGCTGCTGAGTGGGTGTAAAGCGGGGCGGCAGGCGGAAAAGGCTGAGGAGGCCAGGGCGGGAGAGCTGGTTCTGATGCCGATGGCTGCCCCCTGGCAGAGGCTTTGCAAAGAGGTTGAGGAAAGGGCCTCCGTGGGGAGGTGCCAAGGAGCAGAGTGGGCGCGGGATGTGCAGAGCCCTGTTTGGCGCAGGGGTTGGAGGAGGTGTGGAGTGGCGGTGGCTTCCCCCCAGCCCAAAGGCTCGTTGCGGTGCTTTGTTGGCTACAGTGCTGCATTGCTATGGTACGTTGGCTATGGTCGTGTACTGGGCCATTTTAGATCGCAGTGGTAGTGACACATGGGTTGTTTGTGGTACTGATGTGGTTTTTTTTGTGGTTTATCCTTTTCCTTTTGTGGTGTCTCTCATTCCTTTTGGGTTCCACTGAATTTCCTTTTTTGCCCAAGTCTCTTTTACTTATGTAATGCTCCAGTATTGGTTGTGGGTTTTTCACTTTCGGTATGTTTGTTGTCTCTGGTTTCATATGAAGACATGATTTATTTTCAGATTTTGGAAGATTTGTAAAATATCTGTTTCTCAGGATTCTCAGGAGCTGTCTCTAAGACTTGATGTCCTGAGAGGAACTGGCTCTTGTTTTAAGCACTTGAGCACTGGCTGTTTATTGGTGAAGCTTTTACTGGCTCTTTGCTTCCCATTTCTTGGTTTGAACCTCATCGCGACTGGGTATTAGAATTTTTTTCTAAGCTCTTGTTTATTTAACAGTGAAGGAGACACAGTTCAGAAATGTTTTCATATAGGTTGATTTTTGCTGGGTTTTGCCAGTTCAGGAATATTTCGTGATCAGTGTCTCATTGTGAGGCACGGAGGAAAAGGTCCTCTACAAACAATTCCATTTTTTCTAATTTCCAGTGTTTGTCTGAAGTAATCCATGCATCTTATTATGCCCTCATACTACTGGAACTTCTCAGTTTTTCTCTCTTCTTTTTTTATCACTGTTCATGCATCATTTCTTTCCATTTTTTAAATTCTTTTTCAATAGTCTATTTTGCTCTGGAGGTCCCAAGTGCAATCTGTTGCTGAGGGTAGGTCGTGTCAGGAGGTTGGTGGTGGCTTTGTCCAGTGATGCTTTGGATATATCTCTAGGAATGGACATCCTACAACCTTCCTGAGCTCTCTTCTAGTGTTGTATCATGTTCATGTTAAAGGTAATAATAACCTGTTTGTTCTTTCATGTTTGAATTCCCTGTGTTCCTGCTTGTGTCATTACTTCTACTCCTCTGTTTGTATGTCTCAGGAGGGTTTCCTCTCTTCAGCCACCTCAGAGAAGACGGAGCCAATGAGGTCCCCTGTGCCTGGTGTCACGGGGTATTTCTGGTTAGAAGGAACATCAGGAGGACTGTAGTACAACCTGGAAGTTGCATCTTGAGGGGTCCTCATGTCTGCCTGAGTACAGGC